CTCGGATCATTTGGTTTACTAACTATTTGTAATACATTTTTCAGGCTTTTTATATAAAATTTACGTTTTACTGTTACCGTGATAAGATGGAGAAAAGATAAATTTGATAATTTACGGTTACGTATCATTATTAACTGTTGTTATTTTATTGTTTGTTTTTAATACAATATGCTTTTATATACGAATGTAATTATTTTTCCTTTTTATTGATTATAATGGTATTTATCACACTTATTCTAGAATATAAAATTTTATGAATTACAAATTAACACAAACATACATAGTTCACTTAAATGAAACATAATAAAGTCATAAAATATAAATACAAAATGTTGGGTAGGAAGGAAAGGAAACTAGTACTTGGGCGGATCTATGATTGTAATATATTGACCCCACAAGCATAGTTCTGATGAATTGAGTTCTCGAAACCTTGTTATGGTATTATTAACACTCCGTCGAGATTTTTATCGCGATGCACAGTTTGCTGCTACTAGTTCTTTTCGAAATCGCGGCGTTGTCACTGACAATTTTTAGTAAAAGTCTTACTCATCCCGCGCGATCCTACCGACTGCGCCAGTATAAAAAAAAACAAACGTGTGAGGTATGTCTGAGGCCTTTGTATGCTTTTTTTATTCCTAAACCGTGCACCTCATTAAATTCTCTATCTTTTTCTTGTCTCTCTCCCGTATCTCTTCCTTCAGCTCAACCTTGTTGCTCTATCTCCATATAAAGATGTCCAACCGACCTTGTGAAGTATTTCTCTCGTATTTTTACTTTGGCTGACCTGACTTGACCACCTTTGCTAGAGATAGAAAAGACTCGAGCCATTTAGGCTTAAATCTAAAATCCTTTTTTAAGACGTATTCATAAAAAAGGCCTACTAAGAATTCCTTACTAAAAAAGGGTTCGAGTCTTTATTTAAGCTTAAGCTTTTTTTAAAGTTCGAGCCTTTTTTGAAGGCTGGAGTCGTAATTGGAACTTAAGCTAGTTGTAATTAAAAAAACCTAGTCACTTAGGCTATGTAGAAATACAAGATATTATTGATGAAAGTATTATTTTCATTTATTGTGAAAATTATCAAATATAATTTTAAATACAATAGTCAAACATTGATAAGCGAAAATTAATCAGAATTTTTTAACCAGGAATATATAATAATGATATATAGGATGATTTATTATTTCCACACACGTTTACATATAACGACATATTTTGACATGTTGACCTATCACGTGATTTCTCTTACCTGAAGGCTAGGTAGTCCCAACTTACGGTGTTTAAAATCCATCTGAGACACACAAAATAAAATTTTGAAAAAAAAAATGTACTAGTTAAGGATCTAATCTAGTCAAAGACGCATTCATTTACATGATTTAATAAACTTAACTCGTTAGAAAAAATCCCAAAGTTACCCCTATATTGCACCAACACTCTAAGTCAGCATTTGATCCCGATGTTGCCAAATTTCATTATAGACGAATAGTCAAGGGTCGACTTTTTCGTAAATCCTTTAGCCATAGATTCCTTCCATTTCTGGGTCCATTTCTTTATAATTATGTCAATAGATTTATTAATATATTTGATCCTTTGTTATCCTTTGAATACCAGACAGTTAAAAAATACACTTTTACAATGGCTTCTTCCATTGTCTTATAAGGAGACAGAAGAGTTACTTCATCACATTAAATAAACTTTTATGAATTGTATAAATATTATTACTATAGAATATATTTAAGCAATATGACCCTCTGTACTTTTGCAAACTTATATACGTTTGTGGGTTCATAAGTTATAGGTTCCTCCTATTTTAAGTTCCCACAGATCTACACTACTGTTTTTTTAAGGACTTCACCTGTTATGCCATACCATATTGTCTTTTTTTTTGGTAAATAAAGTTATTATTATATTAAAACTTTTTTCAATATTATATATAAACTAGGTAGGTAGTGATAGTTTGTATTAAATTTTTGTACTCAATTATAGTCACTAAATATTTACAGACAAATTCGCAGAGTTTGACTCGATAAAATGGTTGTCTCATTTACTATGTTTATATACGACGAAATGCGCAAAAGCGTCGGCGGCGGCTCGGAAAGGCCGTTCAGTCGCCCAGTGAATACTTGGATTTCTCTTTCTACGCTATTGCCGGACTACCTGGCTTTAAAACATTAATCACTTAAATTTGTTAACCAGGAAGCGAGGCACATTGATGACTGTATGCTTTTATTGTTCAAACGATTCCTTCTCTTATTGATCACATTTCCAGCTTTGGGAAATGACTGTTCGCTGGGGACGCTTGTAGCTGGTATAGATATAATAGCACGGCAACTAACCTACAAATTGACTTGGGCAAATCAACGAGCTGGAAAAAGTGGTTATAACAGTTTAAATGGTATGCTTCAGCTATTCAATTATATAATAAGCCAACTGAGGTTCAAGCAGCGATATTTATGGCAATAATAGGCCCAGATGCAATTGAAATATAGTAATAGTTTCTTAGTGTTACGGAAAAAAAACAACCTACAATTAATTAAAGATTCAAAGATTATTTTGCATCAAAGACTTTCGAAAGATACATATTTTTCAAGTTTGAACAAAACGAAGATGAGATATTTAAAGAGTTTTTGACCAGAATAAAAACTCAAGCACGTAAATGTTAATTTGACAACTTAATTGATGAAATGTTGAAAGATAAAATAGTATTCGGAATTAGATCGAATCAAATAAGAAAAAAATTATTAACTGAAGTCAAATTAGAACTTACAAAAGCCATTACTATTCGCAAAACAGATAAAGTTTTAAGAACATAAAAACAAAACAGATAAAGTTTTAGTGGTGAAAAACAAAAGTCCAATAAATATCAAAACAAGAATTTTGACTGTAAAAGATGTGGTACAAACTATAAAAGTAGTAATGCCCAGCATTCAATAAACCATGTACCAAGTGTCATAAAAATGGTCATTTTTGCCAAAATGTGCCGCACTACATAAAAAAATTAAAAATGAGCCGCACTAACAAAAAAAATAAAAATGTGCCACACTAACAAAAAAAATAAAAATGTGCCGCACCAACAAAAACATGTATTATAAACATAAAAATAAAATAAATATGCCACGCCAACATGATATTTCTTATCGTGTATCTCTTTGATAATCTTCTCTGTTAACGCATTTTTTCTTGGAAGAAGTATAGCATGTATCGCATCTTAGCCACTTCTCGTTCTTCTCTATTTAGTTCTACTTGGTCTTCAAGAATAGAACTCTGTTACTGTTGATTGTAAGGGTTTATTGAAAGATTGTGGACTGTAATTATAGGTTTATATGAATACAAGAGAGGTAGCCCGACAGTAATAAATACGCGCGGTGTCTCGTGCGGTCGTGGAGCGAGAGTGACGTTGGTCGCGACTCGCGGCCCTCGGCCGGTGCCGAGCCCGCGCCTCCTCCTCTTCACCTCAGGCCCCAGTTCGCCCGCGTGCGCGGTGGCAGTGTTGTCACATCCAGTTACAAATTACAGATTGAGAACCGGCGACATACTTACCGCCAACACTTTTCATTTTGGCGTCGTTTGCAATAACCTGTGTACTTATCTTTTTTAATAACAATTTGTCGCACCTCGCTGATGATTTGTAGGTTGATCATATTAAAACTCTAAGTGCATTATTAATCTGTTTAATATATGCCACCACCACCAAACTGGCGACGAGTATTATTGAAATTAGGTGGGCATTTTGTTTAAAAAGGAAGTGGCCTTGTTGGTCACGTACAACAAGTCCAAGCAACAAGTAAGTGGATTTATTAATCATCTAGTATTCTTCGTTGTTAGATCTACAAGTTAACCATGGCAGAGGCAGATCAGCAACAGGTGTACCAATTAGTAACACTCTCCAACGTACAAAAGTATATACGTAAGTTTTAAAAATAATATAATAGTTTACAACATCGATCAAGAAAAATGGGCCAACTACCTACGCAGTTATGTAGGTTTTGAAATAATCACATTCTTAAGTGAGTTTTGTTACCCTGAAAACATTGAAAATAAAAATAACCATTATTTAGTGACTAAAGTAGACAATTATTTAGAACCTGCACCTTCAGAAATAGCAGAGACTTACAAATTCATGAATAGGATAATGTAGATTAATGTGTCTGTGCTTGATTATGTTGCAGCCTTAAAAAATTTGCAAAAACTTGCAATTTCAATAATTATTTAGATCGATAATTACGAGATAAATTCATCCACGGATTAATTATTAAATAGAAAAATAATTAACCAGCCAATCATGAAGAGGTTATTTTCAGAAAACGAGTCAAATTTTCAAAAATCTGTTAGCAGTGCCACTAGAGGTAATTTAGAGATAGCAGAAAAAGGGTCTAAGTTGATAACTGAAAATGAAATGACAGTATTAATGAGCAGGTGAACGAGACAAGTGTTCTAACAAATCATTTGATAGACTCTTATATCCACAGCAATGGCAAATGCCATTGCAAGAAACAAGGACACTTAACTTCAGTTTGCAAAAGTAAGCTTTGAAAACAAAACAAAAGGTAAACAGTTCCGTGCCAAGTCAAAAGTGGTCCGCGAGATGATGCGGATAGAGATGATGACGAAGAGTTCTCAGTATGCAGTGTTAAATATTTAATTTCAGTGTTATGAGGACTGTATGAGATATGATTTGAGGGGTCTAAAAGCAAAAACGCCACTGTCCATTTCAGGTCAAAATAGAACTATGAATGCCATCTCGTGTATTTTTTATGAATTAATAATGTGGCACAATCAAATGACATGCAATGTTGCCACTGTCCCATAGAAAACAGGATAAAAATATCAAATTCATATTCAAAACCGACACTGTCCTATACACTTTCAACTTCAAAACTGCCACGGTCCAATGCAGCCAATCAGAGGGCGGCATTTCAATTTCGACAATATGGCCGCTCCTCAGTTTTAGTATTGTTGTTGCTGTTAAATTGTTTCGCTTTTAAAAGGTATTTTGCGTTAATATGGAAGAAAATGTGCGTGCAGTTGATTGCCGAAAGGCAAGGAAGAAACCAAGAATACCAGAAAACTGGAAAAGGGCTAAGGAAAAAGTAGAAAGGTTAGTCTTAAAACAACTTACTTTTTTGGTTAGAAGGATGAAAGTACAGTCAGCATCTATAGAAGTATTTAGTAATTCTTTAAGGAAAGGAAGTTTTATTAATAAGTATCTACCTAACACGGTAATTTTACAGTATGAAGTAAAAATTAAACCATCCAAGAATAAAAATACATACAATGTAATAATATAAAGACTTTTTAGGGTTCCGTACCCAATGGGTGAATACGGGACCCTATTAAGACTTCGCTGTCTGTCACCAGGCTGTATCTTGTGAACCGGGTTAGCTAGAAAGTTGAAATTTTGACAAATGATGTAGCTATTCTGCCCTGCTAAGCGCAAAAGCGGTATCTCAAAAAAAATCGTAAAATTGATTTTTATGCCATCGGATAGCTTTAAAAAATACGCATCTACTGGACTAAGCCATTTAGCACTATCTTGTTCAAAACGTATGAAAAAACCTTAAGAAAGATTTTTCTATCTCAGTTTTACCATATATCACTAAGGGTGTTAGAGGTATATTAATATTACGTAGGCAACCAGCCGCAAATTTAAATATCGCTAAAATTCTTAAATAAATACACAACTTTTGCTTAGCCGATAAGCGGTAAGTAGGATGAGTAAAATCAGTAATGAGTTACCGCTATAATGCTTAGTATTTTAATGCTTGCATAATACGCAAATTGTTTTGAATTAGTGAGATACGGTTGCAATAGCAAAATTAAATTAGCCCTTATGGTTTTACTGGATAAGATCGAATTTCTAATACATTTTACAGTGATTTATCCCTGCCCTTGGCAAATTCGTTCGCAAATTCGTGTCATAACTTGTTTGTTTTTGTTGTGAAGAGGTCATGATATTTGTGCAAAATTAAGAAAAAAACTGTAAATTAAGGTGCTTAATGGGGTAACTTCATACATTGACATTCAGGTAAGTCCTATTAAATATTATTTTAGCATTTTGTAACCATAATCATTGCAAAATTAGAAATTTTGTGTTAAACTTCCTTGCGGTTGGCGTGCGCGCCCTCGTACGCATTCGTACTTAGCAAAATTGACCTTGATCTACCAGAACATAAAGTACATTATTTTTAATCATATTTTCCCAGCCATACGGTTATTGTTGTTCCGATGATAATAAGTTGATTTGCACTTTACATTACGTAAGTGCAATATTTTAATTTATTTCCCAAATATATAATTTGTATTATGTTTGTTAAAGATAACTAAACGTTTTTGATGAATAAAATAATTCAGTTATACTTATTAAATATTGTTACAGATAAACCATGTCGCAAAGAAATACGAAAATGATGATGCTTTTAGCACAAAAAAATAAGGCGTTGAGGGAAAAGTTTAAGGAATCCAAACAATTACAACGTAATATTAAAACGATCGATCCCGACTTTTTTCCTACTAGTGATTCAGATGATGATCCCGCATTTTCAAGATTCAACAGTGCTGATCAATTACTAGCTCCGATTCTTCCTTCCTCAAATGGTTTCGACTTTGAAGATTCACATTTTTTATCGGGTCCGTGTACATCAAACGTTGATTATTTCGCTATGCATCAGGATGATCAAAACACAGAAATCGGGAATAACAACAAATCCCCTAACTCGTTGATCACATTGACAACTGTGCCAATTATTGAACATAATGATTTAAGTGACATATCATCGCCAGGCTTTTGTTTTAATACACACAACATACACAATGTTTTTAATTGCGGTAATCCAGAACCTTTGATCACAGATACTATTGAAGATCAACAAAGATCCTGTATTTTTCAAGATGATACAGAAAAAATATTGATAACTGCTTCCGATAATACTATTTGCACTTCTGAATCTCTTAGGAATAATTCAAATGTGATAAGTGTTCAATACGAAAAATCTGTTGAGAATTCATCTTAAGGACACGAAGTGACACCAAATGATAATCTTAGGGACACCGAGAATCTGACACAAAACGAGATAGCTGATGGAAATACACATAATCTTACAACTTATACTAAGGCCGGTACAATTAGGAAAAGAAAAAAACACGACCAACCTCTCAAAGTCAGAAATGAAGTGAAAAAAAGTGAGATTAGAGAGAAACATAACGTTAAACCACCCTGTCCTGCTTCATGCAAAAAGCAGTGTATCCAAAATATATCGGAAGAGCAGCGAAAAATTATAAATGAGAGCTTCTGGAGTTTGAATGACAAAGAGAGGAAGGCTTATATGCTGCATCACACCTCAGCTAAATCTGTGAAACAAAGAACAGTAACAAGATTTGAATCAGAGGAGTACAGAAAAAAAGTAAGGTACAGTTATTCACTTAAGGCCGTGCTCGGTACAAAGTATGGAGTATGTAAAACCTTCTTTTTGACAACTTTGGGCTACAAATCATCTAATGACAAACCTTTACATACGGCTTTGGCCAATTCTAACGACACGGTTGCACCACCAGTAGACAAAAGACTGGGAGCTACTCCTCACAATAAAATTGAATCTACTCCTATTAAGGAACATATAATGAGCTTTGAGCCGAGTATATCTCATTACAGGCGTGAACACGCTCCCAATCGCTTATACTTACCCAGTGATTTGACAATCAGTGCGATGCATAAAGACTTTTTAGAAAAAAATCCGTCTTGCAAAGTATCTTACGATAAATATCGAGAAGTAGTCGCAGAATTAAATATTTCTTTTGTAAAGCTTGGCCACGAAGAGTGTGAGGACTGTGAAGAGTTCCGTTTACACGATGATACACATACCAAAGAAAACCTTAAAGAAGACTGTCTAGGTTGCACGAAGTGGAAAAGTCATAACAAACGGGCATACATGTCCAGAGAGCAGTATAAATTAGACAGTGAGCTAAATGAAACTGATACTGTTGTATATTCTGCTGATTTACAAAAAGTTATCATGCTGCCCAGGATAGACATGTTCAAAACTGCTATTTTTACTCATAGGATAGTGGTTTACAACGAAAGTTTCGTGCCAACTGGTCAAGGCCGAAAAGATTTGAGTGTTTTTCCTGTACTATGGTATGAAGGGTTGTTTGGACGTTCCAAAGCCGAAATTATAAGTGCATACTATCAATTTTTTATTTTTCATCGGGATAAAAAAAATATCATACTATGGGTTGATAATTGTTCCTCCCAGAACAAAAACTGGACGTTTTTTTCTTTCTTAATTTATATTATAAATTCTAAGGATATCAACGCCGACAAGATTGTCATCAAATATTTTGAATCCGGCCACACCTTTATGTCAGCTGATAGTTTCCATCATAGGGTAGAGCTGTCCATAAAACGCATGAAAAACAAAATTTATGATTTCGCAGATTTTTCTCAGGCAGTTAGCACTGCAGGAAAAAATGTAAAACTTAAAGAGATGAACATGCAAGACTTTTATGACTGGGATGATTATACCACACAATATGCACTGTCTCGAATTAAACCGCGTCCATATGTCAGCGAAATGGTTGAAGTTGAAGTTAAAAGAGGCAGTTTTGATATCACCTACAAAACAGGATTCGATCAAAATGCAATTACTGCTAGCATTATAGGAAAAAAAATTTTAAAAAATCATGTCTTGCCTCCACCAAAAAAGAAAACTGCTCCGGAAGGAATTTCAAGAAACAAAAAAGAAAATATTTTGAAATCTTTTCAAAATATAATACCACAAAATAGAATGTCCTTTTGGAGAGAACTCCCTACTTTTGACTACTAAAATTCCTTCCAAAAACCGTTTGTTTTTAAATATTTTTTTATGTAATTTCAAATTTTAATAATAAAAAAACGTTATATATATACTTTAATTGTTTTTTTTTCAAATAATACATATTTTATTCGATAGAAAATACATTCCTTTTTGTATACACACATGTTTGAGAAGAGCTAACGAAAAAGCGGTATCTCAATTTTAATTCTATAGTTTACTAAGCGGTGTAACCGTATCTCATGAATAAAGTACATTATTATACATTTTTGATAATTTAACTAATGTGATAACAAATACACCCTATATAATATATAAATAATATTTAACAAATAAAAAAAACTATACATAAAGTATATATATAACTATTTTTACATAACTTCAATTATCTCAAAACTCGCTTTCTTTGAGTTACCGCTTTTGCGCTTAGTTGGGCAGTATTCCTGTTGCATTTTTTCCTGTTGCGTATTCCTGATATGTTTTTTTATAAAGAGTAATGGCTCTTGACCCCAGTCTTGGCCAACGTAGAGCGATGACGAAGTTGACGATGGAACGAGTTTTCCTGAAAGATGGCTATTTATTCCCTCTTTGAATGAGATCCGGAAATATAGACAATGGTATATAATTCCAATTCTTTAATAGAATGACAGATTTAAAAATTTTCACTGTGCATGCATTTCCTATAAATTTTTGACAAGCAGTTTTGTTCTCTTATTTTAAGGTATTCAGCAAAGCAATTGCCGTCAGCACCGCAATGCAATCACGCCAATTCATCTCAATACAAATGTGGTTCTTTATCGATGCAAGATATGCAACAATTTCACGAACAGTTTTATAAATATCCAATTAAAAAGGACCAGGATGCGTTTATTTTAAAACATTGTAAAATACAAAAAACAAAACGACGTCGTCCGAGGAAAGGCATCCGAAAACCGACAGAAATCTACACAAAATTGTATGTCAGAAAAAAAATTTCCGCAAAACTGATACCAGTGTGTCAAAAAACATTCCTGGGTATTCTTCAAATAACTGTCCATAGAGTTCGAAGAGTGGCAAAAGAATTTGCCAAATCAGGTACAGTTGTACAAGAAAAAAGAAGCGGTGACCACAGGTCCGCCCAAAATGAACCCAAGCTTAGAGCTGTACGGACATTCATAGAAACCTTTAAATGTGTTGAATCCCATTACTGTAGATCAAGTACAATGATCAGAAAATATTTACCAGCTGAACTTAACATTAAGAAGATGTGGAGAATGTACCAACACCAATGTCAAGATGAAAACCTACTAGTACGACACTGTTATTTCCGGAGAGTCTTTAATAGGCACTATAATTTGGGATTTGGCACACCTCGTACTGATACATGTTCAAAATGTACCGAATTACTAGAAAAGATAAAAAACTCACGAGATCAATCGGAAAAATCAAAACTTATGGCTAAAAAAAAAAGAGTCCATTCACTTAAAGCACAATATTTCTATCGCTTATTGAAAGAAAAAGCAGACAATATGATAACGCTATCTTTCGATTGTCAGAAGAATCAGGTTCTTCCAAAAATTTCTGACCAAACGGCATATTATAGTCGTCAGCTCTATATTTATAATTTTGGCACTGTGCTGTCAATGCCAGACAATACGCTAAACAAAAATAATGTTTTTTTGTACGTGTGGACCGAGGATCAGCAAAGAAAAGGGGCAAATGAAATTGCCTCTGCAGTATTTCACAGACTGCAAAATTTAGAAATAAAAGAAAATGTGGACATGATTCGACTGGTATCAGATGGGTGTGGAGCTCAAAATAAAAATACAGTTATGATCGGAATGGTTGGTTATTGGTTGCTCAGACATGCACATGCGCAAATCAAATCAGTGGAGTTCGTTTTTCCCATACCTGGCCATTCCTTTCTTCCACCTGACAGGGTTTTCGGTAACATAGAGAAAGAAATAAAGAAAAATGAAGAAATTATTGATCCAGAGACATATATTAATATTTTTGATAGATATGGGACGGTGGTAAAAATGGAAGATAAAGTCATGGACTGGAAAAATGCTTTTGCCGGTATCATCAAACCACCTGCATCATGGCATTTTAAATTTGCACAATGTAAGAGATTTTATCTTAAAAGAACAGCATCTAACATTTTGGTGAGAGGCGAAATGCACTATGCCACTGACATGATTGCATACAAAAGCATTCTAAAAAAAAGAAAATCATGGACAGATGTAAACCCAAGAAATTTACAACAATACGATGTTGTAGTTAAGAGAGCTAAAATTTCTGACGTGGACAATTTATTAAAAAAGCATTTCGGAACGGACTGGAAAGACAGAGATGATTTGACCTACTATAAAGAAGTTTTGAGTAGATCAGAAGCTCGGGACGGTCAAGCTGAAGAATATGAAGAAGAGGTTTGCGAAGGCGGTTCTGACTCGGAATTACGAATCTAGGGTATTAAACACTATAATAATAGTATGCTACAAAACGAAATTTGATTGTCTCAGTAGTAATATGATTATAAGAAATACAAATATTAAAAAAAATATTATTGTCACAACTTACTTAAATGTAACCTAATTAAATAAAATTATATAAAAATATTATTATGTCAACTGTACTTCTTTGACAAAATGGTGTAGTTGCGTAGTGTTGTTGTGTAGTTGTGTAGTTGCAAATACGCCACTGTCCATTAGTAAGAAACAGAAACGCTACTGTCCACTCTATTTATTGGCTTAAAATCTGTTAACATCATTACTTTACTACACCTAATTATTTGTTTTTAGTCAGGAAACATGTTGTAGCAATTTAATAGAAAAGCATGCGACATATATACGTTAGAATACACAATACATAATTTACAGTCAAATGGCTTTCATGATGAGTCAGGACAGTGGCGTTTTTGCTTTTAGACCCCTCATTTATTCAGTGTAAAGAAGGAAAGTGATCAAGTAAAAGCAGTTATAAATCATAATTTCAAGTGCCCTTCTCCGTGGGAGATAACATTAAACATTAACGATAAACAAATTATTTTTGATATTGATACTAGTTCAGATGTTTGTTTCCCAAAATTGAACTTAGAAAAAAACTAAGATAAATTTAACTGGATATGCAGGCAAGTCGAATGAGAATTTAGGTAAAGATATAGTTAAAGTACAATTGAATAGTAAAACTTATTTAGCACCACTAATAATTGTGAAAATTAGTAATAAAGTCTAATTAGGGTGAAATTAGCTTAACTTTATTAAAACTGATTGCTCAAAAGTATAAAATGTAACCAAACATGTAATGTCAATACAGTATAATATAGTTCAAAAGAAAAACAAAGTAAGCTTCAGGAATTAATAAATGATATTTTCTCTACAGTTTCTAGTGAAATTAAGGGTCCAGTAGGTAAGTTAAGAGAATGCAATTCCTAAAATATTTAAAGCACAGGGACAGTTCAAGTATTACGTGAGCACTATGCGTATCGAGTATTATTTTGGATGACATTCATCGTCTTTTACGAGCCGAGTGGTTCGCATGCTGGTTTTAAGGTGCCGCCATCTCTGAGGTCCCGGGTTCGATTCCCGGTCGGGTCAATGTAGAAAATGAACTTTTCTATATTGAGTCGGGTCTGGGTGTTGTGGTACCTTCGTTGTCTCAGATACTCCATAATACGGGGGCTTTAGCTACTCATCTTGGAATCTGAGCAATGTATGTGATGTTGTTAAATATTTATATTTAATTATAGATAGCATTTTAAACTGGAAGGAACATCTTAAAAAAATTACTAGTAAATTACTAGTTTTACATATGATCTTTTCGAACTCGAAATATCTATAGATCTGAAACTGCTACTTCTGCCTTTTATGTATACGCACATGCTTGGCTTAGCTACGGCATTACGCTTTGGGGTAACAGTACAGATGCTAAAAAGGCATTTACGCTACAGAAAAAATGTATCCTAATACAGTGGACCCCCGATAATCCAGCCCCTGTCTAATCCGGCGCCCCCTGTAATCCGACATGGCTTTGAATACATATTTATTTGACAATCTTCGCTAATGTAGATCACGCAGGTTTGAACAGGTTACAACTCGTACGCGCCACCGCTATTGTGCTCGACGCGTATGCATTGTTTTTGTACTTAGTTTGAATTTGACTACATACTTGTGATAGCGGTACGGCGTAGCGTGCGTTCATTGTTTGCTATTTATTTGTGTATTAGGTATAGTACCTAGTAATGTCATCAACCCAGAAACGAAAGCACAAAACTTTGACAATTAAAGAAAAATGTGATATTTTGGATCGCTTAAATCGCAATGAAACTTTCAGTAGTTTAGCAAGTGAATACGGCGTAGGCCGATCTACAATTTATGACATTAAAAAAAACCACGAGAAGATTAAGAAGTTCGTGTCAACTACTGACTGCGGGCCAGGCAAGAGACGGACACTCAAGAAAGCTGAACATTCAGAAGTGGAAGACGCGTTGTAAATGTGGTTTCTTCAGGAAAGAAATAGGCATGCACCAATTTCGGGACCTATGTTGGCCATGAAAGCTAAGTTTTTTTATAAGGAAATAACAAAAAAAGATGATTTTGTGGCCAGCAAAGGATGGCTAGAACGGTTCAAAAGTCGTCATGGCATACGTTTAATGACTAATACAGGAGAGAAACTTTCGAACGATGCCACCTGCATAGAGCCCTTTAAATTAAGATTTTTGCAAAAAGTGAACGATTTAAATCTTGACCCGTCACAGGTGTACAATGCAGACGAATCAGGGCTTTTTTGGCGTGTGATGCCTAACAAAACTTTCGTTTCTTGTAACGAAAAATCCGTACCTGGACGAAAAGTAAGTAAAGAGCGTGTAACCATACTACCATGTGCTAACGCTGCAGGTACACACGCGCTTAAGATGGTGGTCATTGGGAAATCTAATAAACCACGGGCATTCAAAAACATTGATTTACCTGTACACTATTACGGACAAAAAAGTGCATGGATGACAAAAGACCTTTTCAAAATGTGGTTTGATGAATGCTTCGTACCTGAAGTTAGAAAATGGTTAAAAGATCATAATTTTCCTCAAAAAGCGTTGTTGCTTCTTGATAACGCTCCCGGTCATCCGTCTGAAGAAGAACTGACAACTGAGGATAAATGCATCACTGCAATGTTTCTTCCGCCAAATTGCACTGCACTGATTCAACCAATGGACCAGAACATCATTCAGTTTGTTAAGCAAGACTATAAAAATAACCTACTTCTGAGAGCCGTATCAAAAGACCAACCAATAGAAAAAACTCTAAAAGAATTTAATATGAAAGACTTGGTTTTTGCTCTTTGTCAGTCGTGGAGTGCGTTATCGTCATCAACTATTAAATCGTCTTGGAAAAAGTTATGGCCAGATATAGTCACCACTCCTAGCAACGATCCACAAATCAGTGTAACTTCGGATGTTATAGAAAAAGTCGCTACTGAAACGCAGATACGTCCGGAAGATTTGGAAATCTGGTGCCGTGGAATGGATAAAGAGGAAAATATTTTTCATGAAATGTCTGACGAAGAGATTATAAAAGAGGTTTCTAATTATACAACAAACGATCAGGAAGATAACGACGACGTGATTGCAACTGCTCCACAAGTCACAGCACAAGACGCAGTTAACGCTTTTGAGCTAGGTTTACAATGGGCTGAAGAGAATGGTACATCCTACAACGAACTTTTACTTTTGAGAAGACTGAGGGACAAAGCTCTGACCTCGCATTATAACAACCTTAAACAAAAAAAAATTGATGAATATTTCCAAGCTACATAATTTGATTAATTCATTACATGATTTTGATTAATAATTTTTGATTATTTTAGTACATGTATGTGCATTTATGCTTAATTTTATAATAAAACGTAAGCTCTCAATTGTTATTTAATTTACTAAATTCGACTTACATCAATTAAGTATGATTTGTACTTCGAAGTATGTACATATAACATATAGATTCTTATGATTGGATATGTAATTTGTCGGATTACAAGGTACTCTTTTGTAAAAAAATCCGGACTATAGGGGGTCTTAGGCAGTGCTCTATAATCCGACAAATTCGATAGTCCGACACTGCCCTGCATAATGTTTGTCGGATTACCAGAGGTCCACTGTACTTGCAAACACAGATTATTTTACGAGACGGCGATCTTTTAAAAAAATTCAACATTTTAATTTAACCCTTACAGCTATATATATTTTGCAACAATGTCTAGCAGTTAAAAATAATATAAATTCATATCGTGTACAGCCCCCCGCCCATCAAGGTTAAGACCTAAATACAAGTTGGAAAACTATCAAAACTAGAAATGTTTAACACAGGACCGTATTCTATGTCCATCATATATAACTCTTTTCCCCAGCATATAAAAGGAATAAAAAAAATTAGTTATCAAAAATAGCCTAAATAAATATCTATCACAAAAATACTACAATTCGCTGCAGGAGCTTTTCGGTAACACAGGAAGTAATTTTATTCATTCATTTCCTCCTCTTTCATTTACGAGTATAACTAAATTTAATAATTCCATATATAACATTTGTAACACTGTTATAGTAAATTATTACATAAATAATATAGAACAATCGCAGTCAAATACATTGCTTACTCTTATTTTCGATAGATGGCGCTGTACCATTGTTAATCGCGGTATATCTTCCTTTTGTGTAAAAGTACTAGTGTTAAGAAATTATTTTGTTAAATGAAGCTTATACCACTAACGTTGTAAGTTCGTACGTTTGCATCCCGTACTGGAACTTACGGACCGTTAACACCCAGTCGCGAAATAAGCAGATTGTTGTATTGGTTAGTCCTGTATCGATAATTATAGATCGTAATAAGGAGTTTTGCGTTTCATTCTTACAATCGCAAACACCAGCTGTTATAATTGGCGCCTCAACTCGTGGCTTCAACTTTTGACGACCTTTACCAATGATAAAAGACGAGAACGCCGACACAGAGACTATAATTACGAGTCGTCGTGGATCCGGCCCTTCATACAAAGTAATATCAAAAGGTAGAGATTTGAAGAACCCAAAGCCAAAACCGAAACCAAAAGCTATGGCAGTTACATTTACAGAAGACCAATTTGACAAATTGTTATCAACACTATCGATGCCGAGAATGGGGGGCGCTACTTATACCTCTTGCCCCGCTTTCTTCGATGGCATGAGAAAATCGGAAACTGTCGAAACATTCTTAGCAACCGTTAACGTTTTTAAGCGTATTGAAAAAATAAGCGACGAAGAGGCACTTCTAGGTATGCCTCTAATTTTGAAAAAAGAAGCTAGCATTTGGTGGCAGGGTATAAAAAATACCATTCATAAGTGGGCAGAATTTGAAAATTGCTTCCGCCATGCATTTGCTGCCAAAAACCAGCCTATATAATTTATCAAGAAATTATGCAAGAAAAGCAAGGCTCACAGTCAACA